AGCATCCTGAGAGCAGAAAGGTTTTATTACTTCTTTCTTCCCCAAATAGCAGCTGCTTACCTGGTCACCTGGAAATCCAGGAAAACCAATGATCCCTCTCAGCCCAGGTGGGCCTGGAGGGCCTGGGAGTCCAGGAAGGCCTGGCTGCCCAGTTCTCCCGGGCTCCCCTCTGTGAAATCCAGGTGGTCCATGGCTTCCTGGCTCTCCTCTCCTCCCTTGCATCCCAGGATGGCCTTTAGCACCTGACGGGTGATACACGTGGGTGATACATTTCCTTAAAGAGGTGTTACAAGCCGCTTCAAGGAAATCTTGGGCTGGATAATAGTTAGAATGTGGGTCCTGGTCCTCAGTTTAGGAGATGAAGTCATCTCTTAGGGATGGGGAATCCTAATTCCTGCCCTAAATGGCATCACAATGGTGTCCAGTTTCAGGGACCTCACTAGAAAAGGAGCTGCCCATGAAGAGACTCAGAGCCATCCCAGGTGGGAATGAACAGCATCACTTGCTTTAACACGCTCATTTTATAAACGAGGAAGGGCTTACCCAGCGAAGCTAAAACATTCATCCCCTAACAACTAGTTAAGGAGGGGGCCAGCACCAGAACCCAGGTCTCATGCAGATTAAGTCTAAACTTGGAAAGAGAACACAAATGTGGTTGTCAAAATCCTTGCTCTGCGGTGTTTCCGAGGACCAGGAAATTTGGGGAACTTGTTAGAAAGGTGGAGTCAAAAAAAAAAAAAAAAAAAGGCAGAGTCAGATCTGCCCCAAACCTGCTGATTGAGTATCCACATTTCAACAACGGCCACAAGGGATTCGTATGCACACTGAAGACTGAATAGCACCGACTGAAATGCTTTGGGCAGTCATTGTGCCACTCATTTCAATACCAGCTACTAAAACCAGGAATACTGTAAACCTGGAACCAGTATTTCACGTATCTGGACTGATCTTAGTTTGGAATATCCAAATCTATAAACGTGTATGAGCTGATGCTAAGTTCTACCATGGGGGGGAATGTACCATGAGGTTCACTAGGGTCTATTTATATTTTTATCTCAAAAAGTGACCTTTCCTAACCTCAGTATGATAGTATTCTTAGGAAAGCTGCCTAATACACATGCTTGTTTGCATGATCTGTAAAGAAGTCAACTTATTTGATATGGTTAAAAAAAGTAAGTGTTTACCTTGTTCTCCTGGGAATCCACTATCTCCAGGAGGCCCAGGATCCCCAGTTTTCCCTTTTATGGAAACAATATCTATTTCTGCTTCATCTCCTGGGAGTCCTCTTTCTCCTTTAGATATTAATTACACAAGAACAAAACAAATGGAAGCATCATACACGCGATTCTTCTGTTACAACTTTTCATGTCCAGTTTGCAAATCCCCATTTAATCTACTAAATGGTACTTATGTTCATAGATTGCACGATGTCAACATTGTTGATTGATTTCCTAAAAGAAGGGCCATGCCTTTCACATTCCTCTCCCAACTTGTCCAGACACGGGGTCTGATGTACACAGAGTGATCAGTGAATGTTTGCTAAATTCAACATAACTGGTTTCAGAATCTTAAGTGAAAAAAAGACAGGCTTGAAACATTCCAGGTCTAGAATACATCCCTTTGTCCTGTAAATTTTGAATTGTCCATCTCATATTTTCCCGTTCTCTGTCTTCCCTTTCCCATGATTTTCCTTACATTAAAAGAGCAGACACTTAACTTGGTTCTCCACTTAGAGAATTCTAAAAGATAGAAAGGGTATATGATATTTCTCCTGACTTTTGCAAATGCTGTCCAGTTGTAGACATGTGCTGGAGTGGACTTGCACCAGCTTGGTGAGAACCAATTATTAACAAGTCAGGAATCCTGTGAACAAGTTGTTAAATCATTGGTAGTTGTAAATGAGTCATGGTGCGAGTATTCTGGGTGGAAGTATTTATACCATGGCAATCAGCAAACATTACAAAATCAAGGCATTTCAAAAAAAAATTATTTTGGAGAGCCAGCTTATCAGCACATCACTGGCATTAACCCAATTTTAAATATTTTTAGTGAGATAATTGTATAGTAACATAATAGCACAGCAAACATCACTTGTCTAAGCTAGCAAAAAAAATGACCCTTTGATTCCTTGATTCTACAGAAATAATTTACAGGCTAGTGCAAAAAAATAAGGGTAGATTCAATCCACTAAGAAGTAAAAGTAATTTGAGTTAAATATGAGGCCATTTGCCCCCAAGGGCTTTAAAATTTAAACTTTGTTTCTAAAAATTAAATAGTCATGAAAAATCTTTCTTTAAATGAAGTTTGGGAGAGACACCACTCATGGCCCAGATAAAAGTGAAGTTCTCCAGCTCAGAGGTTAGCACACTACAGCCCGTGGGCCAAATCCTGCCAGTTTTTACACAATCTGTGAGCTGTGAATGATTTTCACACTTTTAAATCATTTGAGGGAGGGACTCAGAACAAGAAAAATATTTGATGACGTGAAATTAAATGAAGTTCAAACTTCAGTGTCCGTAAATAAAATGTTACTGGAACACAGCTGTGTGTGTTTGTTTAGGTGTTGTCTCTGGCTGTTTTCGTGCTAAGAAAGCCAAATTTTGTCATTTCAACAGAGACCATACAGTCTGTAGAGGCTAAAATATTTATATCTGGCTTACTTAAGAAAAAACAATTTTTTTCATTAAAATTAATTAAAACAGGGTTTGAGGGCCAAGAGTCTTGCCTGCACCCACTTCCTAAAAGGTTAGGAAATTTTCTGAAACCCAAAAGCTATACGTCAAAGTCCTTGTTAATTTTTTTCTATTAATAGAGCAATTCATATACCATAGTTATATATGATGAGATTGAGAGGTAAGGAAAATAAAATTTTGTTTAAAATCCTAAAGCAAACACCATAGATCTGAAAGCCTAAGGAATTCGAGCTGCAGGACAGTCCCATTTTATTTTTCAGGGATCACACTTACAGCTTTCGTTCAAACACTAGAAACAACCCATGTTGCATCGCTGTGCTGTCAGCCACATTTACCTTTGACACCTGTCACTCCTGGGTCTCCTGGGAAGCCAGGCCAGCCCTTCTGTCCGAGTTCTCCCTTTCTGCCGGGGTGTCCATCTGGGCCAGGCGTTCCTCTCTCTCCGGGAAAACCCGGGAAGCCAGGCAGCCCCTGGGGTCCTGATGAACGAGAGCATGAATTTGTAGGAAAACGTTTTAAAGGCTAGTATGGCTCCTAGATCTGTGTTCCTGGCTGCCCATACACAGATGCCAACTCCCCGCTAACTCTAAGCCTGTGCCGAAGGGAACCCAGCCTCACTGCTTGTAAGAGTCGGAGTGTCCCACCCAAGCCTCAGTTTTCCACCCCGCAGCCCTGAACTGTAGGTCCTTTTGCTTCCGAGTCCTGATCCCAAAGAACTTTAAGAGACCTGGGTGTCGGGGAGGTGGCGTGGAGGCTGGGCGCCCATCCAAAGCGGAAGCGCGGCTGCCTTGACCCTATACCTTATCAATACTACCTTTAGGCAGAAGTGTTTATGGGGTCTGTGAACCTAAGCCCCTACCCCCTTTTCCCGTTTACCTAAACCAAAGCATTCTGCCACTGATAACAACAATATAGAGGACAGGAAGCAGGCAGAAGTCACTAAGGACAAGACAAAGTCAGGCCAACATAACAGTAGATTCTACAGTGCGGTCATAGGTCATAGACTTCACTTGGCAGTGGATTTCAAGTTTATAAAATGGGGGAAAATAATGGAAAAGTGCTACCCACCCTTTGGGCCCGGAAGGCCAGGCAGCCCATCATCCCCAAAGGGACCTGGGAGTCCCGGAGGTCCTCGGGGTCCATCTACCCCTGGCCGTCCTGGGACTCCGGGAAAGCCCTTCATTCCAGCAGGTCCAGGAGGTCCCATGTCTCCTCGTTGTCCTTTCCAACCTGGGGCACCTGTGACAAACCACAGTGACAGTGGTGTATGAAGATTGAAAACAGGCTTCACTCACAGGCAGGAAAAAATATCCGTGGTAGCTTAAATTGTGTATCCATCGCCAAGTCAACAATATTTATCAGCTAAAGTAACAGTAGCAACTCTCCATCAGTCTAAGAATTTATTTTTCTGGCTGCTATAAAAAGAAAGGCAGATTACTTGAATAAATATTTCCCAATTGAGACGCAGGACTATTATGAAGAGTCTTTTAAAATGGAAAATGGATAAGGATAAAAGATTCGTATTTACTCTTAGGGAGGGCGGGGGCGGGAATCAGCCTGGCTTTGACCCTTCGAGAGGGCGTGCTTCTGCATTTGGATAAACCCAGCAGAATCTAAAGTAACAGGCGACGATCTGAATGGTGAAATAAAGATCATACTGGGAAGAGTCCCCAGCACCTTGTGCTGAGAAACACTTTTTCACAGGTCTCTTTGAGCTCCTCTGATGTCTTGCTGGGTGTGCCAAGAACACAGGGTCCTGACCGCTCCTTACTGAGCCTATTTCTCAGGATTGTGTAGGTAGCGAGCAGCCTTGACAGATGATGACGCTTATTCCTTTGTAAGCAGGGTAAAGCCCCACACCCAGCACAGTTCTTGACACCTGCCAACACTTACCTGGGCTGCCCGGAGGCCCGGGGAGCCCCGGTTGCCCAGGTCTTCCTGGAGCGCCTCTTCCACAGGAGTGAGCGGGTAGGCCTGGGATGCCTGGAAACCCCGCACTTCCCTCTCTGCCTCTGGGACCTTTGAGACCCGGGAACCCGGGCATGCCAGCTGGCCCTGAAACGACACAGTTCATCTGTGACACTCAGGGCATGAAACTATATAGATGGCCTGCAAGGGTATTCATGTGCATCAACACTGAAGGTAAACACTTTGACCCTGGCTCAGGGCTCCAGTGAGTTAAGTCTCTGAATGGATTTTCTTATCATAAAAAATGATTTGAGCTTGAGCTCCAAGTGCTTGGGAAAAACATGCATTGTTAAGAGAGTGTCTTGATAAGGTTACACAGACAATGCAGAGGTTGTTTATATGAATTTAGAAAACTATGCAGTCCTTCCTGTTTTTAACTAACCTCTAACATTGTGGCAGACTTCACACCAAACCTCCGTGATGCTTGTAATCCCAGTCTGCATTGCCTGAGTTTGCATTTTGTAAGCAATTTCATCACTTGAACGCCCACATTTTTATTTATTGGAGACACAGCATCATAATCTTCAGGGGGAAAAAATATCTTTCCTAATTCTACATCCTAACCTAAAAATCTATTTTATTGTTTCATGTTTTCATTGTATTTTGGTTAAAATGTTTACATTTTTAAAATAGTAATCCCGCCGCATATTCAATTGTTGGATTATTTCATATTGCATGTTAACCTGCAAATATTTTCCATTTTGTTATAATCTTTACAAATATAATGTTAATTGCTAATAGCTGAATAGTATTCCTTTGAGTGTGTGTGTATGTATATATTACTTAATTCTTTTTATTGTTTTCAGTTGTTCCTCTATTGTGGATAATACTACAATAGTATTTTCATATTAACCATCTTCTTTTGAGCACTTCCCTTAAATACATTTCATAAGTAAGACAGTGGTATTACTGAGTCAAAATTATTTTCATTGACTCACATAATGCATTATCGCATTATGTTTCAATTAAATGGGTTTTAGTGTATGAATGTTTCTGACTTCCAAACTATGGAATGAACTCTCCAAGGACAAAGAATGTGGCTTCCTTCTCTGCCCTCCGTTATCCCTGTACTACTGTACTACCATGGGTACCTAATAAGCACTGGCCCATCCATCACTAGAAAAGAACCAGGACAATGTTTGTAAAAGTCTGGTCTTGGGTCCACTTTTGGTCACCATCCCCCAAGAGGCTAAAGTCCAGACTGGACTGCTGGGCCTCACCCAATTCTAAGGTAACAAAACACAATTTCTGAGACTGGGGCTCAGAAAACAGTGATGTTAATGACCCCTCCAACCCTGGCTTAGTTTTTTTTCT